ATATGTATATGTATGTATGTATTGTCCCCTGCAAACCCTAAAACAGTGTAATATATTATGGACACTCAAAAATAATTGAATATATAATATTTATTGGATGATAAAAGCCCTTTCACCTTTTGATTAAATTATATGTGGATTTTAATTCATCCTCAGAAAGTGGTATTAAATTAAAAAAAAACCCAAATGCTAATTAATGTCTAATAGTTGAAATGAAACAATTATCACTATTTTTACATGTAAGAGGTTGATTGTAATAACTTATAGCCATTTAGTCTAATATTTAGTTTCTTGGGGTAAAAATCACTCAAATAAGCATAATTATTTTTTAAAACAAATATCGGCCATGTGACAGATATTTAAGATATGGCTGGGTACTTGATTTTTTGAAAGTTTTTGTCCAAACATATGTGATTTTAATTTCTGTTGCACTAAATTAAGGTGATTAAAAACTACTTTGTTGAACTTCAGCTCCCAAACTGAGCTCTGTAATGTGGAATCAAAGATTTCAAACAGTACCTATCCAGCTATCATAGTATCCAGAACATAGGAACTTAGTAAATATTTAATGATGGTGATAAATTCCTGTTAGAAACAATAAAGTTGATCAAGGAGATTTGTTTATATGTGAACTAGTAACAATTTGAAAGGTCATACTTCTTAAGTACTTCTTCATAAACACAGATTATGATCATTCCCATATTTTAGTCAGAGTATCCAGGAGAATGATGGCACTTTTATTAGAAATAAGGAAGCCATCAGGCTGACTTGATTTGGGGTGGTGGATGAGTTCATTTTTGAAAGTGTATAATTGGAGGAGCTGGCAAAATATTCAGAGGGAAATATCTTTTTGGCAGTTGGGAATGTGGGACTAGGACTCAGGAATAAAGTCAGGACCTCTCTCTGACTTGGGAGTTCCTATGTAGAGGTCCTCCGTGAAATGCAGATATTGATGTATCTTGGAATGAGAAAAGAAAAGGTGCTTGAGGCCAGAACCTTAGGGCATGCCAAATGAAGGGATGAGGAAACTGCAGCCTTAAGGCCACATTGTGGCCTTCTAGGTCCTTGGGTACAGCCTTTTGACTGAGTCCAAGTTTTACAGAATCCCTTTATTAAGGGGATTTGTTCTGTGAAGTTTGGATTCAGTCAAAGGGCCACACTTCAGGATCTAAAGGTCCACACGTGGCCTTAAGGCCACAGGTTCCCACCCCTGATTTAGAGGATAGGAGGAGAAGGAAAAGTAAATGCTGAAGAAAAAGAAAGAGCATACAGGGAGGTACGGGATTATCAGTGATAATACAGTACCATGTAAGTTTTAAGGGAGGAAAACCAAAGAGGATATAGTTAACAGTTTCAAAAGCTGAAGGATAAAAGATGCAAGTGTTTGAAAACCTGTAATGTAGAAGAGCAACTAGACTTGTTTCACTTGACCCCATAAGGCAGAACTGGGAGAAATTGGTAGAGTTTTCCAAATGACAAATCAGACTTGATGTAACACACACACACACACACACACACACACACACACACCATGCGGTCTTTAAAGTTGCATGGAAGTGGAATGGCTTGCCTCAGGAGGTGGCGGACTCTCCTTTATTGGAGGTCTTCAAGTGGATGGCCACTTGTTGGGTATGGCGCATTCTTATTCCATTATGAGTTGGACTAGATTTCATCTCCGTTCCTTTTCTACTCTTGGGTTCTGTGATCCCATGGGGGCATGAAACAGAGAGAGAAGGCTTTTGCATATGGCTCCTGTGAGATCATCGGTGGTGACCTTCAAGAGAGTAGCTTCAGTAGTAGAATGTACAGAAACCAGACTGTAGGGAACAAAAGAGGGAGTGGAAATGACGAATGTGAACTAAGAGCTTGGCAGCAGAACGTTAGGAAAGAAGAAAACCTTCTACTATGTGTGGAAGGTTCTGTAGAAAGGAATTTTAAAAAATTTTAGAATAGCGGACACTTGAGCATGTTAGCTGGAAGAGAAAGGACCCGTGGAGAGGGAAAGATTGAAGATGCTGGAAACAGAGGGAATAATTGATGTTGGACCTTTTGTTATACTTTTCTAAAGAAACTAGGAGGTCCTCGAAAGGTAAATGAGTGAATTAGGGAAGAATAGGTAACGAACCCATAAAAAGTCCTTGAGTAAACATCTTTTGAAAGACTTCACCTTCTCTTTAAACAGTAATAAATTCCCCAGGCTAAAACTTAATTAGTATTTCAAATAATGTGTTATTAAAGTGTGTGAAATGGAAAGAGAGTTCTAAAATGTAACTATAAAAAGGATTCGCACGTGTAGATTAGGTAAAAAACATTCATAGGAAAAAAAATCTGTTCAAATAAGCAAATACAAACTGGACAACATTACTGCATTGACCTAAGATCCTTTACCTATACACTACTCTAAAACCAAGGCTCCTAACCACTATGTAGGTAAGTGCAATTTGGTATGGGGGAAAATGCGCATACCACATGAAGTTGCTTGAGAAAATAACACAAGTCAGCAGCTTCGTTCCAAGATGTAAAGAACCTGAGGCAGGTGTTCTATGTGAAGGCATTACGTTTTGTAACACGTGTGTGTGTGTGTGTGTGTGTGTGTGTGTGTGTGTGTGTGTGTGCGTTATTCCAGCCAAAACAGTGTCCTTATGAAGATAGGTAGGGAATCAGTCTAAGTAAAAGTCAACATTTCCTGTAAGGCAATTTGCATGTTATTTCTCATAGAGCTTTGCAGTCTGATTTTTAGTACAGAGGATCATTTCCAGTGTGGAATTCATTCTTAGTAACTGAAATAACCTTAGTAATCATCCCTCCCTTTCTTCTCCTCTCCAGTACTGTCAGTAGCACATACTTGCAGATGGAATTCTCTTTTTGTGCTGTCTGTAATTGAATGGAAAAAAAAGGCTTTTTAAATGGGATCAATTTAAATGCATCTTATCGGCTATCTGTGGGATGCATACTAACTTAAAAAAAAGACATTTAAAACTGAAGAGTGGTTTTAAAAATAGGTATGTATGTATTCTTTGAAATGTTTTGTGTTATCTTTTTAGGGGGGCTTGTTTTTGACTTTGACATAACTTATGAGAATAAAAGCAACTAAACCACGTCTCACTATGTGACTGGCTGGTGGACTCTTGATGTTCACTTCTTGGCTGATGTATGTTGTGTGCTATGCACTTTTCATTGTCATGAGAGAGAATGTTAAGAAAACTATCCCCACAAGAAAAACAGCTTTTCTTGGCAAGGGAAATATGTCTTAAGGAGCCAGAACTAGAGACATACGGCGATATGAATGAGATCTGTGTTACTTTGCTGGATCTGAGTCCAGGCACTATTTATACTGCAGCATATTCAGCACCAGATTGTTAAATCTTAATACTGAAACAGTGCATCATTTTAATATTTTTGTTCTGTTTATTCCCTGTTTTCAAGCATTATGTCAAGCATTACACATTCATTTATTCAGTCTTGGACAGGCCCTACCCTTTCCAGAAAGTTCATTTCCTATTATTGCAATATTGCCCAGTAGCTTGATATTTATGCGATGCGATGTTCTATTAAATCTATTTCAGTATTCAGGTGCCCTCTATCTTTGATAATGAAAACTTAGGTTTAGTAGTTTATAGCTGCATTTATAATGACATCACTTGTGATATTAAGCCACTCGATTGGCCTACTTCTAATCTATCAATGAAATTTAATTGTAGAATAGAGTAAGTAGTTTCTAATAAAATTGTGACCATCAGATTGGCGTTTCATATGAATAAAAAAGCTGTCTTGTTTGGAGAAAATGAGTGCTATATCTTTAACTTCATCAGTACTGCATGGATCCCAACCATCATGAATTGGCCATGACAGTATCATCTCAATAATAATCTCACATTTTCTTCCCTCCCTTTAAAAGCAAACAAACAAACAAAAAACAACTTTTAGACTCTTTCATGAATGTAATTTCTGTTATGAGGGTTTCTAAATGGGGGGAAGGAAGGGGCAAGGAAGGGAACACACATTTATTAAGCACCTACTGTGTGCCAGGCACAGTGCTAAACACTTTACAAATGTTATCTCATTTGATCTAATTTGATAAATAGTGTAAAATATGTAAAAATTTTATTAAATCTGCCTTAGAGACAATGGAATAGACCTTGGAGGTCATTTAGTTTAATCCTCTCATTTTTTCAAATGAGGAAACAGGTCCATGGTGATAAAATGCTCGCTCATGTTTGGTCACACGTGTAAGTAGTGGCAGAGCTAAGCTTCACACTCGGGACTTCTGCCTCCAGATCCAGCTTTTCTGCCCATACACCATCTTATTTCTTCTGTTGGCGTGTGTTTACAGTCTCCTTTAGGAAACATGCAGAGAAAGGGTGCTATTGTCACTACAAAAAGCTGGGGTATAAAAAGGAACTCGATGGCAACTCTGCTATTTTTTGATCTGTGGTCAAGTATTGTGCTGCTGCTTTTTGCCAAGGAAAGCAAACCCTCTGGCTGGTGAAATACAGATCTGGAAGTGAACTCTAACTACTTCATCAATTCCAAATGCTATTCTCACTGGGAATCACACCACAGTCAGGATGTAACTGCGTGCTAAGCCCACACACAGGAATTTTTCTTGTTCAATTCAAAACCAAATCTTGTATTTACTTAATTTTTTTTGTCTGCGAAATCAGTAGTCCAGAATATTTAGTGTTGGTCTTCAGTCAGAATATAAAGACTTTAGGGAACGGCAAGAAGACTTTTTATTTTTAATATCTTTTTAGTTTTCTAATCAATTAGACAAATAGGAAAAAACATTAAGAACCATGATTGCAAACCTCATCTTTTATCCTTACCTTCCTGTAGAGGTGGGCTCGGTTGTCAGGCAGAAAGAAATTGCTTATTGCTCTGTGATATAAAAATACCTCTGAATCAGTACTTGAATGCTGACTATTGTATGACTTCCATAACATTGAAAAGGTTTAATAAATAGCAGAAAAATGTTTATTATCTTTTTCTTTCCTGCTCAGGAATAATCAAACTAGGGAGGTGGAATCCTCTCCCCCTCAGTTATGTGACTGATGCACCAGATGCGACAGTAGCCGACATGCTACAAGACGTCTATCATGTTGTGACATTGAAAATCCAATTACAAAGGTGGGTGTCTCTGAACATCTGTCCTTTCCTATTCTCTGAGCTGCTCTGTCGATCATAGCATTTCTACAGAGATTAGCACATCCTGTCTTCATTAATTTCAGAGCTTTTGATGAAATGAAAAGGAAAATGAAGGGAAGAAGGTGCTTCATCAAGCGTCTTTACAGTTTACATTCCAATTGTTTTATATTTTGTTTTCTGAAGCACTGAAGTGGGAACCTGGAGGAAGCTTGATCAATCATTAAAGATCTTCAGCCCTGAAAGGGAACTTCCACAACCTGTAATTTAATGGGTCCTCCAGGTCTGATTAAATGCTTAGCACATTGTATTTGAAAAATAAACATCTCTCCTTTTTCCAGGATTTGGATTTTGAAGGGGCTAGATTGTGTTTTTACAATATGCTTAGGATGACTAGCTGAGAGTTTGAGACTTTTTCCTTTGTCTGTAGTGGACTTTCCAGAGAGGAGGAAAACTATTTCTCTGACTTGAATTGGCAATTACTTCCTCTTTTCTGACATCCCGAACAACTATGCAGCTAAACTTATTCTGTATTTTGCCATATTGCCTTACTGCTGTATCTTTTCAGTAGATCCATCCTTTTCCCTTTTAAATATTTCTGGTAATATCACCCTCAGTGACATCACCTGCCATTTACTAATGATTTGGGTTGGTTTTTTTTTGTCCCATTGGCATGGGAGGGTTAAATTGGGTTCAGGAAAAGCAAGGGTATAGTGGATGAATGCTGATGTTGGAAATCGAGAGCTGTGGACACTAGTCTATGCTCTGCCAATTGTTAGATGTGACCTTGGGCAAGTCACAAATACTTCTGAGCCTTAGTTTCCTTAATCTATAAAAAGAGGTCAGTAATATTTGAACAACTTTCTTAAACAGGGTTTATGTAAGACCCAGATAAGACAATATAAGTCACATGCTCTGCAACTACAAACATCAAATAAATATGCAAGAAGACTTGCCTATTTACAAAGTCTTAGCAACCCTGTTCTTTTGTAGGAATGTTCTGATGCTACTTACCTCAACAGACAACCTGTGAATGTGTAACTAGAGTCTTCAAATTGTACTAGAGTGGGTGAGGATTTAAGATTTTCTGTAAACTTTCTTACATTGTATTCAATAATTTAAAATGACAAAAATCCTGTTACATATGTTTAGGCTCATATAACCATCCCACTTTTCATCTCTAGATTAATTAAAATATCTTTTCCCTCCTCCTTTCTCTCCCTCCCCTCCCAAAAGTTGCATTGCCTAATGTCTAAAGTGACTGTTTTTCCCAGGCATTTGTGTGGCCTGATTTAAACAGACCGCACTGGGCTCCATCAAACCCCAGAGGAAGCAGCTTCATGCACATGTTACATCATTGAAGTAGGACTGGATCCCATTCTTGGCATATATGGTCTTTCTCCTATTCCTGGCAAGGTCAATTCCTAACAACAGTTCACCTTGAAGGAAAAGTCTGAGTCCAAGAGGGACTCTATGAAGGTCTTTTGTTAAGAGAGCAAGTCATTGTGCAGTAGACATTTCTGTTTCACTCATCCTTCCCCTTGTGTTTTTCAGTTGTTCAAAGTTGGAAGATCTGCCAGCAGAGCAGTGGAACCATGCCACAGTCCGCAATGCCTTAAAGGAGCTGCTCAAAGAGATGAATCAGAGCACGTTAGCCAAAGAATGCCCGCTCTCCCAGGTCAGTATTGCAAGTCGCTGCTCTAAGCAATGCGGAAAATTGATGAGGGTTTTTCCCCTTCTCTCTTCCTCGATGTCCCCAGTTTTGGTTTTTGAAATGAAAATTTTATTTTCTGTTTGGTCATGTTCTATCTTGTATTTCACTTTTATTTATGGGGCCCCAGTAGGTCATAAGCAGGACCTCTTAGGAATGGTGGCATGGTAAAGTAATGGATCAGCAATTTGTAATCCTTTTCTCTCAAATACATATATATATATATATATATATGTATATTTTAAATCTTAGCCTTTTCCCAGTGGGCATACATGGTTTTTCTACTTTACATTTCTGAAGATAACTTCTCCATATGAAAATATACTAATAGCTATTAGTCATTTCAGTCATATCCTACTTTTTGTGACCCCACTTGGGATTTTCTTGGCAAAGATATTGGAATGGTTTGCCATTTCCTTCTCCAGCTCATTATGAAGAAACTGAGGCAAACAAGATTAAGTCATTTGCCCAGGGGTACACAGCTAGTAAGTGTCTGAGGTCACATTTAAACTCAGGTCTTCTTGAATCCAGGTCCAGCATTCTCTCTACTGTGCCCCCTAGCTGCTTAATTTTTAGTGAACTATTTATAACCTAATTCCTGCTATTTTTGCTAGTTTTTTTCAAAACCCATATACACATACATTCTTATGAATGGTTCATTAATATTGTGGGGAGAGGGAGTGAGAGAAAACCTTTTTCATTTTCATAGTCTGCACTTGCTCTAGGCAGCATTTTTCTATGGAAGCTCAAGGTGGGTGCTGTTGGAATGGAAATGTATTTTTATTACGTCGGCACCATTAGAAAGCCATTTTTGATATTCTGTTTTCTAATGAGATTTTCAGAACTTGGTTTAGCCAGTGAGCTAGCTCCATTGGAGGCATTGTGGCATAGGAGAGTTTAGCTCAGGAGTCATAGGACCTGACTTTAAATCCCGCCTCTGAAGCTTATGGCCTGTGTGACCTTAAACAGGTTGTTTTGCTTCCCTAGGCTTCAATTTACTCTTCTGTAAAATGAATGTATTAGACTATATGGTCCCTGAGGTCTCTTCTAGTTTTAGAGCTATGATAGTACAAACTGTTGAACTTAAGAATTGAAGGGTGGGTCAGCTGAGTGGTGCAGTGAATAGAGCGCTGGTTCTGGAGTCAGGAGAACTTGAGTTCAAATCTGGTCACTTAGCCCCAAATGACTCCCCCAAAAACAGAAAAAAAAAGAATTGAAGGGAGCCTGAGAAACCTGATTATATAATAAGATGAATATCATGATTCTGAAGAATCCATCAGAAAACATACCATAGACGTTGACTCAATATTTTACATGTGTGTCCTAAAGTTAATTTTAGAATCTGGATCCTTTGAGGTAGAATATGCTTGCCCCACAGTGTGATATGAGAAGGCCCTCGTGATGTAAAGTTGTTCCCTGTTTCTAAAAAGTCTGGGTGGAGCTTCTTGGGGTGTCTTCAAGAACCCGGCTGCCAGTCAAAAAGCCTGTATTTCTAGTATTTTTCTTTTTTACAGATTTGTATGCTTATCAAATCACACACAAAATGAACATTTGAAGTTATTGTAACAAATTGGGGCCAGATAAAGAATAAATTTGGGGTAAATTTTCAAACTTATCCTAAATCTCAATATGTTTTTTTAAATATATGGGCACAGGAAATTGCCATCATAAATTATGTTGTTCCTTGTGCAAGTTAGGGAGGTGCCTTCCACCTGTCTCCCAAACCAAAGAGAGCCTTGATTGGATGTGGGGAAACACCTGAACTGCACACAAATGAATCAGTTTTTTAGGCAGTACACTTAGAACATACAGAAATTTCAGTGTAGACCTTGACTTCAGTTGTCACTGTTAATTGTAAATCTGAATGTCTGTGTCAAATGTCCACATAATGACCCCAACAGTGTTTTGGAAATGAGAAAAACATTGCGAACAACGATTTAATGGTTGCCAAACATCACATTTTTATTCAAAATAGAGGATTCTGCCACATTAACACAATCAAGTGGTTTTGACTCCTGTTTTGCTTGATTTAAGCTTATACTCATTATCTGATTGTCTGGTGCTTGGAGCTGATTGACACGTGGTAAAACCACTGGGACAGTTCTTTAAAAAGCAGATTGATAACTTTGTAAATACATTACACAAATTTAATCACCTCTCTAGTCACCTTGAGCACTCTACTTAGCTCCTCAATGTTCCGTGGCTTATTCAGAATCTAGGAGGTGGAACTATGCATCAGTTCGTTCAAACATAAATGCTCTTATTACTATATTGAGCCCTGGAAGAAAAAAAAAGGCTAAATATTTGAATCAGTAGCTTTGTGTAGATATAATTTTTGTCAAAGGAAGGGACCAAAAACAAGGTAATTTGACTGAGGTTGAGTTACTCAAGTAAGGACAGGAATACCTCACATAAAATTGCCCTGACCCACAGCCTTCAATAATGTGTCTAATATATCTTTGCTTCCCAACTATATTGTTCTTCAGCCAATCCAGAGCAACCAGTGCAGTTTGAATATTTGCTCTTCATTTGTTATGGATCAGAGAGACAGTAAACTGGTTAGACAAATAGTTCACTTATAAGGTTTGTGCCCTTATTAGGAGTAGCAAAGAAGCATCAACTTAATTGTTATACCTAACTGCTTCTGAATGTAAAGCATAAAAGTACAGAAAAAAGTCATGAGAACATTTACATTTTTAGCTAAACTTCTGTAAGTTCAAAGTTATTGCCACTTTGATTGATTCACTCTTCCAGTTTTTTTAAAGAATGAATGAAAAAGCATTTACTAAAGGCTTCTGTGCCAAATGCTATGTGAAATGCTTGGAATAGAAATAGAAAAATAAGACAACTGCTGCTCTTAAGGAACTCACCCTCCAAGTGGTGGAGTGTAGCTACAGCGTGAATGGTAAGGTCCAGGAATCCTTAGGCTAGTGGAGTGTCTGTCTGATGGGAGCTGCTCACTACTATTGGGAAGTGGGAGGTGGTCCTAATGGTTGGAGTGTAGAAGGGGATTCTAGGTTCCCAACAGCAGGGAATGGGTGGAAATGTCAGTGTGAAATTATAACACAGATGGACGTGAAGCCTCTCCTGATTGCCCTAGTGGCCAGTGCCCCACCCCCCAAATTTACTTTGTATTTATTTGCTTTGGACATGTTTATTTATATTCACATTTTCTACCTCCAATAGAATGTAAGCTGCTTGAAGGCAGAGATAATTTCATTGTTTCATATTCTGAGTACCCATCATGGTACCTGACACATAGTTAGTTCTTAATAAATATTTATTGATTGTTAAAAAAAAATATAAGAGGAAGGAGATTTCCAGGAAGATTGGGGTGAGATGGGGTAGTCACCCCTCTTGGCATAACCTGTGGTCGGTTGAAGCCTTTCAAGTACTCTTGTGGGGTCTGGGACAGTCTGCAGTGGGAGAAGTGGGGAAGAGGAAGGGAGGTTTCTTCTTGAGGCTGACTTTGATTGGTTCTTGCTGGATGCCAGTGATGGGGAGTGGGAATGTGGGTCCTGCCTGGTACTACCTCAGGGGGTTCAGTTATGTGTATAATGCATGCATGATGATGGATGTATGATATAAGCAGCATATATGTATACACATGATCATGTATATGTAGATTACATGTATATAGTTGTTTTTTAAAGCCACTGATTGTATATATCACTCTGTTTGCTAGCTAGATATCAACATAAGGTTTAGCAGATTCCTGGTGAGGAAAGAATTGGCATCTCACTCCAAATATATTGTTGAATTCTGTGATTCTTGTCCTTTGGCCAGCCATCCCTTATTTCCCCTCTATTTTGCTGTTTGTATTCCCAAACCTCAGGCATACATTTGATGATGATTTTAACATCTTAGGTTTGTTAGTCATCCAGGTAATCTTAGTCTCACCCTCCAGAGCAATCCTGTTATAATCTCATTGCTTTATAAACATCAATTTAAATCCTTTATAGTAAAATTTTTGGTTTCCTAGGAAGATATTTCCCATTTATGGTCATTACTCTGGATCTTAGTGCCATAACACACTACTGCAATATTATTTCATCTGAAATCATGTTTTTGGAAGATCAGTACTATTAAGTGAAGTATGCCTGTAGTATGTTAATAATAATAATAATTATATATATATATATATCAGAAATCTAATGCTTCTGTAACTGAAACAAGAAAGTATAATTTAAAGATTAAAATTTATTCATATGTAAGTTAAATGTATCACACCGTATCTTCTTATTGGACAATTTTTAAAATATGTTTAAAACAACAGTGACTGTTACATTCTTTCCTAAAAAACCTGTACCAAATCTTTATTAATATATGCTGTGTCTCAAATTGGCTATGTAAAGAATGATTCAGTGTTCATTGACTTGGTTTTCTTACATACTTGAATGGGTGATTATAAATGGATTTTCATAGCTATCCCTGTGATATTCAACCAAGGTTTTTTGATAGTTTAACTTGACATATTTTTCTGTGGTTGTAAAGATTATAGTTCCTGCTAGATAGGAGACATAGCTTGATGGCAGCTGACGGTAAAATGACCTGGGTGGATGACTGGGTGGGATATGAAGCACTGTCTGGTTTGGGGCCGTTTTGTTGTAGTAAAATAGGTAAGTTTGCAATCACTCAAGGCCACTTGACCCCAGGATAGTAGTTCTAAGACTGAGCAAGTTAACTTCTCAAGGGACTTGGGTCAGAGACTAGGGGCAACTAAATAACCCACCTTCTTCATGCCAGTTATTGAATTGATCAGACTGAAACTAATACACATCAGAAATGATCATCTCTACCCTCCTTTTTCATGGAGGCACTTTCCTAATGTCTAAATAGGAAATTGAGCAATTTAACTATTGGCACCAGGTAATTTCTTTCAAGATCTAGCTTAGGAGATTAGAAAACTTTAGCAGTAATATTGCTTATGTAGGTCTGTTTTCTCAGGTTTGTGGAATTCCTATTTG